CATAGTGAGCATCTACATCTAATAGTCCGTCATAGTGAGCATCTACATCCAATAGTCTGTCATAGTGAGCATCTACATCCAACAGTCCGTCATAGTGAGCATCTACATCCATTAGTCTGTCATAGTGAGCATCTACATCTAATAGTCCGTCATAGTGAGCATCTACATCCAATAGTCTGTCATAGTGAGTATCTACATCCAACAGTCTGTCATAGTGAGTATCTACATCCAATAGTCTGTCAGAGTGAGCATCTACATCCAACAGTCTGTCATAGTGAGCATCTACATCCAATAGTCCGTCATAGTGAGCATCTACATCCAACAGTCTGTCATAGTGAGCATCTACATTCAACAGTCTGTCATAGTGAGTATCTACATCCAACAGTCTGTCATAGTGAGCATCTACATCAAATAGTCCGTCATAGTGAGCATCTACATCCAACAGTCCGTCATAGTGAGCATCTACATCCAGTAAATTGTCATAGTGAGTGTCTACATCCAACAGTCCGTCATAGTGAGCATCTACATCCAATAGTCTGTCATAGTGAGCATCTACATCCAACAGTCTGTCATAGTGAGCATCTACATCCAATAGTCTGTCATAGTGAGCATCTACATCCAATAGTCTGTCATAGTGAGCATCTACATCCACTAGTCTGTCATAGTGAGCATCTACATCAAGTAGTCTGTCATAGTGAGCATCTACATCCAACAGTCTGTCATAGTGAGTATCTACATTCAATAGTCTGTCATAGTGAGCATCCACATCCAATAGTCTGTCATAGTGAGCATCTACATCCAATAGTCTGTCATAGTGAGCATCTACATCCACTAGTCTGTCATAGTGAGCATCTACATCCACTAGTCTGTCATAGTGAGCATCTACATCCAATAGTCTGTCATAGTGAGCATCTACATCCAACAGTCTGTCATAGTGAGTATCTAAATCCAACAGTCTGTCATAGTGAGCATCTACATCCAATAGTCCGTCATAGTGAGCATCTACATCCAACAGTCTGTCATAGTCAGCATCTACATCCAACAGTCTGTCATAGTGAGTATCTACATCCAACAGTATGTCATAATGAGCATCTACATCTAATAGTCTGTCATAGTGAGCATCTACATCCAACAGTATGTCATAGTGAGCATCTACATCTAATAGTCTGTCATAGTGAGCATCTACATCCAACAGTATGTCATAGTGAGCATCTACATCCAATAGTCTGTCATAGTGAGCATATACATCCAACAGTCCGTCATAGTGAGCATCTACATCCAACAGTATGTCATAGTGAGCATCTACATCCAATAGTCCGTCGTAGTGAGCATCTACATCTAATAGTCCGTTATAGTGAGAATCTACATCCAATAGTTTGTCATAGTAAGTATCTACATCCAATAGTCTGTCATAGTGAGCATCTACATCCAACAGTCTGTCATAGTGAGCATCTACATCCAATAGTCCGTCATAGTGAGCATCTACATCCAATAGTCCGTCATAGTGAGCATCTACATCTAATAGTCCGTCATAGTGAGCATCTACATCCAACAGTCTGTCATAGTGAGCATCTACATCCAACAGTCTGTCATAGTGAGCATCTACATCTAATAGTCCGTCATAGTGAGCATCTACATCCAATAGTCTGTCATAGTGAGTATCTACATCCAAAAGTATGTCATAGTGAGCATCTACATCCAAAAGTATGTCATAGTGAGCATCTACATCCAACAGTATGTCATAGTGAGCATCTACATCCAACAGTATGTCATAGTGAGCATCTACATCCAACAGTATGTCATAGTGAGCATCTACATCCAATAGTCCGTCATAGTGAGCATCTACATCCAACAGTTTGTCATAGTGAGCATCTACATCCAGTAGTGTGAAGCTAAACCAGCCAACACAACAATAGTGTGAAGCTAAACCAGCCAACACAACAATAGTGTGAAGCTAAACCTGCCAACACAACAATAGTGTGTAGCTAAACCAGCCAACACAACTGTAGTGTGAAGCTAAACCAGCCAACACAACTGTAGTGTGAAGCTAAACCAGCCAACACAACTGTAGTGTGAAGCTACGTTCGAATGAAAGAAAGCACTTAAAGTACGAACACTTCCATTTTATAATTATTAAATAGACAGAAATTAAAGGAAAAGGGGCTATCCTCCGAATAACGGCCACATATTTTGTCGGCCAATAACAGGGCCTCAGTCACATGTAAATTGCGGACTTCCGGCGACTATACCGACACCACCGACGGTATCTCCCGCGCCGCTACGCGCTGCTTAACTAGATTGTTGGGACTCACGAGCAAAGCTGCAGGATATGTGAAACTGCTGCTCGTGAGTCCCAGCCATCTAGTTTAGCCCCTCGGCGGTGGCGGTATAGTCACCTGTCTGCAATTTAAGTCGCCGGAAGTCCGCAATTTACATGTTTTTGGCCACCATAATATGTAGCCGTTATTCAGAGGATAACCGGGAAAAGCTATCTATCCTCCGAAAAACGGTCCCAAATTATCGGGGCTAAGAAAATACCCTAACAGGGCCTCAATGCTTGTGACTTTGCCGCCAGGTAATTGCTGAATATTCAGTAAACAAGGCGCGACTAGTGCCGTCGTGATAACGTCGCGTCCGCGTAAGTTCCGTCCCTTCAATTGATAGTGTTGCGCTTCCACTGTTGTGATATATTCTGGTGGCGGTGTTGTAATTGCAATACTCCTGGCCCTAACCCTAAACCTAGGGGAGACGTTAAACCTAGGACCCAGGGGAGAAGTTAAATCTAGGACCCAGGGGAGAAGTTAAACCTAGGACCCAGGGGAGAAGTTAAACCTAGGACCCAGGGGGAGATGTTAAACCTAGGACCCAGGGGAAAAGTTAAACCTGGGACCCAGGGGGAGAAGTTAAATCTAGGATCCAGGGGGGAAGTTAAACCTATGACCCAGGGGAGAAGTTAAACCTAGGACCCAGGGGAGAAGTTAAACCTAGGACCCAGGGGAGAAGTTAAACCTAGGACCCAGGGGAGAAGTTAAACCTAGGACCCAGGGGGAGAAGTTAAACCTAGGACCCAGGGGAGAAGTTAAACCTAGGACCCAGGGGAAAAGTTAAACCTGTTACTCAGTGTCAGAGCTGTTGACACCCTCGATGATTTGGGACCGTTTTTCGGAGGAGTGTTTCCGGCGGTATGCGGTAGACTTGCCGGAAAGAAGTCCGTAATTTACACACGATTGAGGCCCTGTTAGTTTTGTTTTTTAAACTTCGATAATTTGGGACCAAGGAATAAATTCAGCGACAGAAAAACATAAAAAAATAGAGTTATCGTGTAAAGTTTAAGAACTTTACCTTGACAGTTCGAATCTAATTGAATAAAATTAGTGTGCAATAGTGATATTCGAACTGATGCCAGAACTGTTGACGTCCGAGTCAACACGTTTAATTGAACAATTTCATTATGGGATAGTGACATTTTAAGTACAACAGGAACTTTTCATATCTCATTGAACGAGTTCAGGTGTTTTTTTAAAAAAAACGACATTTTATGTACAACAGAAACGTTTAAGATACATCACAGTGCATTCAATAGAAAGTGTAACCACAATACAAGATCAAGAATTACTAACAGCACTTTAATTGAAGAATAGGTCACGGAGTTCATAATCTGTTTAAATCACCACTAATCACTGGCAACATGGGAGTTGATAGACTGAAATGGTTGGGACATATTAAAACAATGTAAGATGACATAAAGATAAAAACTGTATACACAAGGGAGATGAATGGTCGTAGACCACGAGGCAGACCAAGAAGAATATGGAGAGATAATATCCAGGCAGACCTGCAAACACTTGGTGTCACCAACTGAAAAGAGAAGGCCAACCAGAGAGAAAAATGGAGGGGGATAATATCTGCAGCAATGAACCTCAAGGGCACGGAATGCTGAAGAAGAAGAAGATTTATATGGCAAATTGAATTTCTAGAATCTTTTTATTGATATATTTATTTAGGGGTGTATTAAAATCATTTTGGTTATAAGCGTAATAGGATTTTATCATTGATTATATTACTTTACTTCATAAATTTAAACACATTATTTTCGAATTGTTTTTCAAATTTTTTAATTCAGCTGATCATTAATCATTTATAATTCAAGAATTATTTTGTGTGAGTTTAAAGACGGACAGGTATAAATTTAAAGGGTTCTAGTGGTAATAATTTTGACTAGTAGAGTGATTTAAATGAATTGTGGTTTAATTTCATAGGGAGATTGTTAGTTTGCCGTAGTTTGCTTAAATCGATGGATAGCGACTTGGTTCATTTTGTTAATTGCGAATCACATCTCAACGAATTGAAGTTGATTGTTAGACTTTTGAATTGTTTGACAACTGTGTTGTTGATTCTAGCTGTTGGGTGAACAGTCGTTAACGATGGCAGGCAGGTCGTTATAGGGGCGATGCCTGCTGGTGAATGTAACGTACAAAGTCCCTTCCCCAGCTAATAATGAGGGTACTGCTGGGGTGACCGTTTATTAACCCTCATATAATTCTTCCGGTCAAAATGGACGCTAGGCACGGCCACATTTTTTAAAATTTAATATTATTTTTGTTTAAAGCCGTGGCAAATGTTTTTTTTTTTTTTTTTTTTTTTTGGGCCAGACGGTGGCCGTTGCATTTTTGCTCCATTTGTAGACTGGAAGGATGTAGTTTCGTCGCCCAGCTTCTGAGTTGAGTGCAAGGCGTGACACTGTGAGCTGCGTTTGTTTTTCGTTGGCACAAGAGCGGAGCATCTGTGGGGTGACCCGTTTGCTATGAAGCTGAAACTAGGATTACCAGATTACCAGATTCTAGCCTGATGTGTCAGAAGTGTACAAGAATCATACATCGAGTTTTTTGTGAGTGACTGAAAAATTTTTGTACCAATTTTTACAATGTCGAACGTGGTGCAATGGGTATCAATCGGGAAGGAATCAGGCCTAAAAACTGAGGATCTGAGAAAGTACGTAGACCAGAAACAGAAGGAGATGCAAGATAAAGAAAGTGAACAACACAGGCTTTCGAGAGAGCATGAAGTGCTATTAATAAGAGACAAGCAGCGTCAACAAGAAAAGGAACTGAGAGACAAGCAGCTTCAACAATAAAAACGTTTTAGGAGTAAAATAGCTCCAAATAGAACGGGATAAAATAGCTGCACAGTTCCAAGCAGAGAAGGAAAAGGCTGGAGCAATATAAGAATAAAAGAAATGGAGTATGAATCAAGAAAAGAGGTAACAATCGAAAAAAAGAAAATCAAGTCAGAGGAAAACAAGTTAAAAAAGGACAGTGGTATTATTAGAAACTATTGCGAACATGACAACATTGTTGTCTGGGTTTCTAATTATGAACTCCAAATTTGTATAAACAAGTTTACCCATGAAGACTGATATTCCAGAAACATTTGTTTCGCAATCTGTTAAAAATTCTAGAATCGGTTCCCTGAAGATAAAATAGATTTTTATTATATTAGCGAAAGGATCATGAAATATTATAACGTACATGAGATATGTTACCTTGATTTGAAAATAATCAAACATTTATGGATTTTTCCCCGATGTGTAGAATGCTTTTCAAAAGTGGATCGAAGCTACAAATGGGAAGAATTATTATAGATTGCTGGTAGAACTGAACTTGGGAAGTAAGATGTTAGAATCCCTCTCATGATCAATGCCGACATTTTTGGGAAAATACAAACCTGTGAATTTAAACCAACTGGAACAAATGTAAAAAAAAAATAGTTTGCTGCACATCCAGATATTTTGTAACATAAATTCTGGAATTGTTGAAGTCAGAGTGGCAGCCTATACTAGACTCTACCAACAAAAATATCAGGGCAAAGACCGCAACTACTTTTTAAAAAAAAACATTGGTTATTATTGAATGTAAACATTGTAATCAAAGGTAGGAGAATGACTCTGTTTTTCGACAGGAGCCCAGAGTATTAAGACAGAAACAAAGAACTCATTGCCCGGAGAAAGAACAAGCTGAACAGACATAACAACGCTGTAAATTGCTTCCATTGTAACCGTTATTATAACTTACGATCCCAGCGCAAATTCGAAAGACAGTTCAAGGAGGCCAGTGTAGCATTTGAAACATCAGACGTTGAATCATGCAGCGGGCCAGCTGAGGCTAATTCTGTTCAAGTGTGTAATGTAAATGAAAGATGTCAAATTTGTGTACAGTTTCACAACGGGGGAAATCTACTCTGTGCTACTCATACAAAACGCAAACATGGCAGCAAATTGTGACAGTAGTCTAAAGTTGCGAAAATGTTAATTGACGGGCAAACTATATATGTCCTCAGAGACAAAGGTGCAACAGTATCTGGGATACATCAAATGTTGGTAAAGCCAGAAGAAGTGGCAGATACATTTGTCAGTTGTACATTTGGAGGCAACATAGAATTATGTAGAATGGCTAATGTGCTAGTGAGAACTCCATGCAAAGAAAAGATTATAAACGTAGCATTGTTACCGTCACCATTAGCAGAATTGATTTTGAGATATAGAAATGATTTAAGGAATGTGACAGAAGATGACACTGTTAAGTGGAAACATGAGAAAATTCCAGTCATCAGACTGAAGGACAGGACGAAATACATCCTTCCAAATCCCACATCCAGTGTAAAGGTAGAAACAGCAAAAACATGTTTGAGAGAGTGCAAGAAGGGTAAAATTAAAAAAAAATACCAATAGCAAAATGAGTGTCAATGAAGTCAGAAATAAGAGCGACAGTTATAACAAAACCCAACTGAGAATACATAAAAGTGAAATGAGTGAAAATAAATGGCATCAATTTAAGCAGTATAGACGAACAAAAATAATTTTGGCAAAAAAGAAATGCATGGGGGCAGAAAAGCAACAACAGTAACTAAAAACAAGTGAAAGAAAAAAAAAACACATTCAATTTACATGTGTGTCAAATAAATAATTTTATTATCTGTGTTTGCTTTAAGAAATCTTGTAGTTTTTGTTTAATTCTAAAATAAAAATATAAAAATTGTATTTTAACAAAAATGTGTAATGAAATCCCAAGAGGGGATGTGGGAGTGTGGGGGAGGGGGGGGGGGGTCATGGCTATTTACATACAAATCATAACAGCTCCACACAAAAACAAAAACAGAAATGATTGGTTTTTGTTAATACAATATATCTTTCTTATCATGTAGCAGATTCTACTTACAATTTTCGGAACAAACAATCTAGTTATTCTGTTCTATCCACATCATCCATAGTTTACAATTCGTGTCCTATTCAACAAATTTCTAGAGCTCACAACTCTGTGTGACTATAAAAAGTTGTCAAATCTTAGAAGTGTTACACTATCTGCATTAATATTGCTGAAACTATTACTTTTACAACAGGTAAAAATTTTAAATAATGTACAGGTAAGTGTTCTAAACATTTCCCGCATTATATGAACAAAATCTTAATTGTCGGTGACAGTAACTGTATACAATTAATCTGTTGTGATATGGTGTAAGTATCCACAATTTTAGAATTGTATTATGTATTAGACACACATATTTTATCGCAGCAATGACTACATAACCTGTTATATCCGAACTATTTTCCTACGCATTAGTGTCATAAAGGTATATTTTGCTATTGTATAATATTTCAATTGATGTAAAGGATTAGTTTAAAATGTGTTAATGTGTTTAAAGTGCTTTATTTCACTTAGATAATACTTGGGTACAAAAGGGTATTCAAAACATTTTGAGATATTCCAAAACGAATTTGAAAATGCCAGGACAAACTAATGTCATCATAAACCTATTGAAGGTAACATCTTTTTGCACATGAACACAATGTTTGAGTCACAGTAGTTTTACAGAAATATTCCTATATTTTATTATGAGCCTTTTAACTATTGCAGAAACTGACATCTAAACAACAAAAATATAGCACTTTCAAAAATGAAGCGTTAGCTTTAGTGATAAGCTTTAAACACTTTCCTAAAAAAAATTCTAGGGATGGAATTTGTCATTTTTACAGATAATTTAGGACTCACAAAGTTGTTAACAGTGGACGCAACCAGTAATGCGAGAGTGTATAGCTAGGCACAGTTAATATCTTAGCAACCACTGCCAGATGTAATGTCTAGACTGTAAGCAAATTATAATTATGTAAACATTATTTGTCAAAATGATTGTATAATAGTTTATCAAATTGGTAATTATTAATACTTTTATAGAGAAGGAAAAGGTAGGACTTGACAATTTCAATAAGTACATCATCATCATCAGGTGCCTTGTCGACTGGCGTGGGCGATCATGCCATGCATCAAGACTGTCAAGCATCTTCTCTCGTTGTCTTCCTCTATCCCTCCTTCCACAGATCTTTCCAGTGGTCACAACATGTTCTATTTTCCCTCTTCTCATAACATAGCCGAAAAATGATGACTGTCTCCTTCTGATGTCAAAAACAATATTAATTGGGTCAAAGCTCC